GAGCCCCAGACAATGCAACATCTCTTGCAATGCCCAAACCTAGAGGAAACCTGCAACACTGAAGATCTTGCCAGATACAACGTAAAGGCACAGGAGTGTGTCCAGCTATGGCTGGGCCAAGTATAGTACGTGGACACGATAAGAAGAACTTTAATTCATAGACACTCGAAACAGCAAATCACGTGGCCGTTGAGTACTTCAAATTTAATTCCGTTGGAGATGAAACAAGCCAATACTCTTACTTACAAGCCAGGTTTCGGTTATTACTCCAATCTGAGCTTTATATTTATTTAAAGTAGCATCCATCCCATCCACCTTATTGTTAATAGACCTAGCATTTGCAAGGAAAAGTCTAGGATGCATGAGTAGTAATATCTGGCCATTTACGCAGATTTATTGGAATAAAATCTTTATTCCTATTTCGGGATAGGTCTAGGCCTACATCTACGCACCTTCTTGGTCTTATGCGACTCATACTTTTACGAAGAATTTTCCTTCCTCCTCTTCTACTTAGATTCTTGTATTTATTTTTACTCTTAAAATAATTCCTGTGCTTAGATTGATCAGTGATGTGACTATACTCACATAAGCATAGTTACCAACTTGAGAGATATGAAATGCGTGACTACACCAGTTGGGGAAGGGGCGCCGGGCCCCCTCTGTGGTATAGAAGTGGAGCACCATGGGGAGCAGGACCCCGGCACTCTGACGATCTGAGCATTTTAAAGCTGTTTTTAAACAAATTCAGGGAGTATTTGTGGACAGTACCGAGCACGGTACATAAACAAAAATATTTTCAAGTACATTATGTTTAATTTGAGCACCCGAACTATGTACACAAACATTTCATTACTTAAACAAACAAAAAATGAATAGGCATACTAATTATTTTTTAGTAACGCGTCAGTGAATTAAGTATCCAAGTAAATATTTCTTGTGTTGATTTTTAAAATGAATACCATACAATAAAATACTGTCTAATGACTCAAGTTCCTGCATGACCGTTTTTATATTTTTATATAAACCAATTTTATCTAATTTTAAATAGATTTTCCCCTGAATTAGTGATAATTTGTTATCACGAATAGACGTGTGCTAAATGCGTGACAAGTTTATGATCACGCATGTGTTTCTGCAAAATGGGTGTTTCAACCGAAATCACTTCGAAATGCGGTCAAACTTTCGTTAAACTATGCACACATTACATATATGTTAGTAATAATAATTATAGATAATTAGTTATGTTGTCATCTCAACATTTATATGTAATCATTGATTATTAATTGAAGTAATAGAAAAAGTTTATATCTGGTGATATTTGTATGTTTCAATCATGTCAATCATATTTCTTCTTTCTGTAAGTGATAGTTTCGCCTAAGAACAGAGCCCTAACAACCTTTCCTGTACCTTTTATTTGGTTGTTGGTTTCCAAATAACCGATCCATTTTTTAATGATTGGTCTTGTTATTGACTTGTAAAGCGATGTAACGTTATCTTTATCATTTTTCATTTCCTGCTTCTGTCTTGCTCTTCTTGTAGTATCCTCGTGTTCGCTCATCTTAATCTGTTTTCTTTTGGTTTCTCCAATTTAACTTATTCTTCCACTGCCGGTATTAAATCATCTTTTGGTTTTGTATTTTTTTTTCTTATGTATCATCCTGGTCTCATTTCATTCCTCTTTAAATTTAAAGCTATGTATAATGCATACAGTGATCTGTAGTTTGTTTGTTTGCAGAGGACAGACAAATCTTTACTGCAAGTGCACCAAAGAATCTATGGCACTGTAAGTATCAAGTAAAATATAATCAAGTTACCTTATGAAATTATAATTTCTTAGTATGCTCTTGTTTCTTCGTTCCTTCAATATTAAATTTTGTTCTCTTTTTCATCTATTTCTCACTCTCAATTAAATTTTATTTTTGGCAGATGCAGCAGCAAAGCATGACCAATGTTGCAAGAAAAGAAAAGTACACTTGAAGAGATCGAACGAGTAATCCCGGTGAAAGAACACAAATAATTATTGTATCTTTAAAAACAAGTTACTGGATCAAGGCAACTTGTATTATTCTGAAATATTGATTATATGATCGAATAACGATAAGATGAGGAAGAGGCACCAGAACTACTATAATCAATTTTTCTAAAAAAAGGCAAAGAATTTTAACATTTAGTTAGTTTAATTGATTATGCCTAATAGTTTTTAATTGATTATGTCTAATAGTTTGCAAGACAATTAAGAGAAGATATACTAGAGTTTAGATCAACATCTGGCTGAATATTGAGACAGCTGTTTTTTGTTTGTTTCCTATGTTGTAAAGCAATAGGAACCTTTGAAATGGTTGGATGTTCGTCTGTGCGTCTCTGACGCTGAAATCAACAAACTTGCTGAAAGATTATAAACAAGCTAAGTTGAATTTCCATACCCCTGTAAGTACCGAAAGTTATTAGTTCTATACATAGGCCTTAATAATGATTTTACTTTTTATAAGCAATTGTTTTAACATCGGATAAGGAAAATCACTCCTCAAATTATTTATATATATTTGTTAGAATTATATGTATATAATGAAAAATTGTTAAATTATATATTAAATAATGAACTATTTGTATTCAATTTTTTAAAACAATAAAAATACATTTGGCTCCTCATAGTTTATATCTGGTGATATTTGTATGTTTCAATCAAATCAGCATTTTCAATTACGTGTTCTGTGAGCGAGCGTACGTTTCGAGCGCAATGTTATTATTATTATTATTATTATTATTATTATTATTGTTGTTGTAAATGTCTCTTTTACCCTTGTATTTTGTTTTAATTGATTCTTTATGTCTAAATTGTGCAATAAATTAAATAATTAACTTAAAATTTGTGATGTTTGTACGATAGTTATTTCTAAATATATTGATTCTTAATGTCAAAATTTTGCAATAAATTGAATAATTAACTTAAATTAGTGACGTTTGTATGGTAGTTATTTCTTATTATAGTTTTACAATTAATTTAGTAATTAACTTACATTTCTTTTAATGGTTCTTTTCCACGCTTTATCTTGTATTTGTCTAAGGTGATTTATTTTTATGTTTGTAGGGTCCCTTTTTGTTTAATATTTTTTATACTATTGAAGTATAATTCAACTCGAAGTTGCAATAAAAAAAATTATTATTATTATTATTATTATTATTATTATTATTATTATTATAATTTTATTATGACAACCATCTAAGTACATAAGGCAAAGGAGAGGAAACACAATTCTAATGTCACTAACAACATTATACCGTTTAAAAACAAGCACTAATTTTAAAGTATTTTAACCATTTTTTAAAGCAAGCATTGTTTATATATTTTTAACGTAACATTTAATAAATAGTTTATATGTTTCGAAGTATATTTTGTACTGTTTTATGTATACATTTTTTCATGTAGATTCTGAGGAAAAGAGCAAGCACGAAAGCTTGATTAACGTGACTACGTTTTGTTCTATCCAAGCCTATGACTATTTATTTTGTCTGTACATATCATGAGGCACATTTCAACAGGCTCTGGAGGCAATCAATT